CGTGGGCCGCCTCAGGAGCAGTCAGGGCACGGCCTTGAAGAAGCCGCCAGACCCCCACGAGCCGCCTCATCCTGGCAGCTTGTAGAGTAGACGCAGGCACTGGGTGGGGGGGTCTTGCTGCCCCCCAGGCCTGGAGGGAAAGGAGGCAAGGGGCAGAGCGTGAGGCTAGGCGGAGGGCCCCCGGCTCGTCTCTGCCACAGCAGGTTCTGGGTGTGGAAGGAATGGCCCCCAGAGGCCCCACAGCTGGCCAGAGGCTCCTGGCCAGGAGCTGGGCTTCCGGACTCCTGGTTAGGGAGGAGGTAGGGAGCTCCCTCTCCTGTTTCCCCCCCATGACCCCTCGTGACCCCCCTCGACTCCTGTGTTTCTAATCTTCAGTTTTGTCCCCTCGTTTTTGTAGATTATGATTTTGGAGATGTGTTTCCAGCAGTGCCGTCTGTACCCAGCACAGACTGGGAAGGTGGGACAGTCCGCTGTGACCCTCTTTTCCTGTTGTGCGATGTTTCCATGCCAAGCTTGCTGCATGTTCAAGATCAGCTCCTTATTACTGACGATAACCCCTGATCGTAACAAAGCCAGGCCTGGCCTTCTGTCGATGGAATTCTGCAGGAGAACTTGGCCTTAGCCCAGGCGCACCCCTGCTCCCCAGGGAGCTCCTGCCTCTGCACAGGGGTCGCGGGTCACTAGTGACTGTTCGGGACTCCCAGATCCGCCTTCCTGATTCCAGGGGCAGTTGGGGTGCAGAGGGAGGGCCCAATTGGGGGGCCCAAGGGCCCGAACAAGGAACAAAAGCCGGTCCGGAAAAAGAAGCCCCTAAAACCGGGGGCCCCCAACCCCCCGGGCTAGATGAGGGTCTGGGAGAGGGTTTGGCCATGGCGGTCCACTCCTGATGGCGCCTTGAAGACTTGGACTGAGGTCCAAGTCAGGGAGCTGCCCAGGCAGAGCTGAAACGGCCTCCAGGAGGTTCTCTTAGGAGTTTTAAGTCAGATAAAAATAAAACCCACCAACCCTCCCACCCCATCTGCTGGGCAGCGGCAGCGTGTGGGCACCTCTCCGCCTGCCACCTGCTGCTGGGCTTACACAAATTCATAGAGCAGCTGCCCAGGTTGCTGGGGTACTCCGAGCAGAGCTGGCGTTTCTGATAGGTCAATGTGTCCTCCTTACATCTCGGGCCATCTCAGACCCTCTTCCTGAAGGGCTTGCTGCCGGGAGCCAGAGGGTGGGCCCATCCCAAGGATGAGGAGCAGGGGTTCCCCGACATTAAAGACAGGATCTCCGAGTAATGGGTGACAGAAGATCTTTCCCAAGTAATTTTAGTATGAAATAGCTTAACTTTGAAGGAAATAGGATACAGCATTGGGAAAAATAAATCATGTCACTTGGCCAAGTGAGTGGTTCTAGTTTAATCAGCCTGAACCCAGAATTCCATCAGGACTTGGTCCACCTCTCAGCCTGTCTACTGCACACGTGCCGGGCGTTGGTTTTCCCTCTGACTCTAACAACTAACCCTTCCTGACGTGCCTGTTACACCATTTGACAAGCAGGGCCTGACCGTCCTCTGGAGCCCTTCAGAGCTCCCCGGGGCCTGAGGACCAGTTGCCCAGATGCAGAGCTTACTCAGGCCCAGGGCAGGGGGAGATGTGTCTCCACTGACCGCAACCTCCTGCTTTCCAAAGCTCCTTGAGCACTGAAGAGTTCCGAGCATGCTGGGGCACTCGCCTAGGGAGGGTCTGTCTTCCCCAGGGGCCTGGAGGAGAGCTGGACTTAGGGGCACCTCAAAATTCAGGGCCCTGGGGGCTGGAGTTGTGGTTCGGGGGTAGAGCTCTTGCCTAGCATGTGAGAGTTGCTGGGTTCGATCTCAGCACCGCATACAAATAAGTGAATAAAATAAAGGTCCATCAACATTTAAAAAAATTTTTTTTCAAGGCCCTGGGTGGGATGGGGGTGGCCATTTCAAGCTCTTCTTTTTTTTTTTTTTTTTGTACTAGGGACCCAGGGGCATTCCACTGCTGAGCTGCATCCCAGCCCTTTTTAATTTTTAGTGAGACAGGGTCTACTAAGTTGCTGAAGAGAGCCTCAAACTTGTGATCCTCCTGTCTCAGCCTCCTAAGTCTCTGAGATTATAGGCATGAGCCACCACGCTCAGTGGTCTTTGGCTTCTTTGCAGGGCTGGTGGCATCTCGCCCTGCTGCCCAACACCTCAGGGTCTGCCCCCTTGCCTCTTAGAACCCCTCCCATGGGCAGCTCACATGCCGAGGACAGCATAGGGCTGGACGCCGAGCAGGGGACGGCTCTGGAGTCAGGGCATGGTTTCCTAAAAGCCTCTGACAGCCAGGCCCTAGAGTCCCAGGGATCTGATGAGAGCCTCGTGGGTCACTCTTGTTTTCCGGCATAGCTGGAGATTACGCCAGCTCCCTCCCGATTCCTATAGCAAAAGATGGTGCTCTTTAAAAAAAAAAAAAGGCTGATGCGCAGGCTCAGCAGGCAGCTGCCCATGGTTTCCAAGTTCCACTAAGAAGGTGACGGCAGACTGGGCCCTGCCAGTGGGGCTAGGGGAGCGTGTTTGTCACCTCTCTTCTGGACAGATAATGGCCAGCAAGCTGTCCATATGCCAGCAAAACAGCTGTGTCCCTGGCCGCTGACCTGCCCATGTGTTTGCACCATCTGGGCCTCAGTTCTCTGCTTGGCCACCTCCCGTCTGCCACTGCAGCCTGGTGCTTGTCATGGCGGTGCCCCCTGCCTGTCCCAGTGACTTGAGGTGGCTGAAGGGGGTGGGGAGAGGTTGCTTAGGCCAGCGCTGGAGGGGCAGTGGGTGAGGGGGTGACCCCAAGAGGGCCCATCAGCAAGCTGAGGTTTGAATGGGCTCTCAGCACCACCCTTAAAGGGGCGCCTGGCCTGTCCCCCGGGAGTGCTGGTGGGTGCTGGGAAGAGAAGCCACACCCTCTGAAGGGCCTGCAGGCGTCTGGGCAGCGCCCCCCCTCGCCTCGGGTCCTGTTTCCTGTCCGGCCCTCCCACTCTCCCCCTGCGCTCTGCCCACCAGGCCCCCTCTGGCTCCCCCGAGCCCCCCTGTCTTCTCTGGTGTCTCCTCCACTCTCCTTGCTTCCTTTGTGTCTCTTGTCTGTGGCCTTCAGAGGACTTGGGCCTCCTTCAGCCCTGCGAGCGGGGAGTGGGCTGCAGGAGGTGACGGGCGCCTGTCCTCTGGCAGGAGCGCTCTTAGGTTCATCTAGGAGGTGTGTGGCCTGTCCCTCCTGGCTCCCTTGGAGGCAGCAAGGTCACCCTGCCCTTGGGCCTAGAAGCTGCTTCACCACTGACCTTAACAGGCCAGATCCTGGGGGTCCCGGGGTGGCGAGGTGGCGGTCCCCCAGGTTGCTCCTAGAGCACCAGTCCCATGACGTGTTGGGTTGGGGCTTCAGCTCTTTAAACAGGGCCACGCTGTCAGGCCTCCCTGGAGGAGTCACTCGCCTCCCCGAGTGGTTATCCTCTGGGGCCCAGCGGGGGTCTGAAGGGCCGTCTCCTGTCTCCTTGTCCTCCCAGATGGAGACCTCACGGACACTGTCAGCGGCCCCCGCTCCACTGCTTCGGACCTGACCAGCAGCAAGGCGTCCACCAAGAGCCCCACCCAGCGCCACAACCCCTTCAGCGAGGAGCAGGCGGAGACCGTGTCCTCCTCCGACACCACCCCTGTGCACACCAGCTCTCAGGAGAAGGGGGGGTCCCAGGCCCTGGGCCTCCTGGACGCCTGCACAGAGCTGGAGGTCATCAGGTCAGCAGGGAGGGGCCGGGGAGTTTACAAGTGTCCCCGCGTCTGCGTCCACTCCTGCCTCACTGTTGAGACCAGGGCGGGCGGGTGTCCCCTGATGGTGGCGGAGCCCCTTTCTGCAGGCCGAGAAGCAGCCCTGCCAGCCCCAGGCAGACCTTGGAGCCAGAGGAGTCGGCAGCCTGTCCTCCTGCCGCCACCAGGACAAGGAGAGAGCGGTTTAAACAGCACCCTTTACTTCCCGAGGTTCTGGGGGCTCGGAGCGGGAGATCAGGGTGCGGCATGGGCCGTTCCCACGAGGGCCTCTTCCAGGTTCCATGACATCCACACGACTGTGTGCACAGGCAGAGCAGAGAAAGAGCTCTCTGGAGCTGCTCTTGCGTGGGCACAAGAGGGCTCCACCCTCGGGACCTCTCACCTCCAAAGGCCCCCACCTCCTGATCCCATCCATGGGAATTATAGCTTCCACGTGGAAGTTCGGAGGGAAACAAACACTGGGACCAGGGCACGGCCCAAGCCCTGGAGGTAGGTGGCCTGTACACTTAACAACCATGGCTGGCTTCTGAGGCCATGCCTAGGCTGCTGGGGCATTTTGTTTGGTCCATTCAAGATCAAAAAACAGCCGGGCGCAGTGGCACACACCTGTAATCCCAGTAGCTCAGGAGGCTGAGGCAGGAGGATGGCGAGTTCAAGGGCAGCCTCAGCAACTGTGAGGCCCTAAGCAACCCAGTGAGAATCCTGTCTCTAAATAAAATATAAAATAGGGCTGGGGATGGGGCTCAGTGGTTGAGTACCCCTGAGTTCAGTCCCAAGTACACACACACACACACACACACACGCACAAAGATCAAAAAACACCTTCAGGTTGGACTTCCTCTTGAGGAAGTTGTTAGCAGTCAGTGAGCCAGTTCAGAGACCTAGTCCAGCCTGGCTCATTGGAGGAAAAGTATCTTTGTCATATGGACAGGTACATGGGGCAAGGGAGGAGGTCAGTGACAAGTTGGGGGCTCTTCCAGAGCCTCAGCAGAGTGGGGGCTGCCTGACCTCCCTAGGCCCGGTCCTTAGAATTCTCCACTCTGAATGAGAAGAGAAGCCCCATATACTGGTCAGACATGCTGGCCTGAGGAAGGGACATTGCTCCCCAGGGCCTAGAGCCAGGAGGCCCAACCCACAGGCTGGTTTCAGAACAAAGCAGCTTAAGCTGGTCATGGTGGTGTACGCCTATAATCCCAGCAACTTGGGAGGCTGAGGCAGGAGGATTGCAAGTTCAAGGCTAGCCTCAGCCACTTAGCAAGACCTTGCCTCAAAATTCCAAAATTAAAAATAAAAAGGGCTGGGGATGTAGCTCAGTGGTAAAGTGCCCTGAGTTTAATCTCTAGTACCAAAAAAAAAAGCAAAAGCAAGCAGCTTAGCCACTCAGCCTCGGGGTGGCTTGGCCAGGCCCATTCCACTAACATGGAACCAGGGTGGGGCAGGACTTTATGCATAGAAACTGAGTATATTTCTC